TTCATGGAACATGATCTTTACTTAATATCCTAATGATTTTTTGGCATAAAAGAAAAATCTATAATTTTGACCCATTCAATGTATTTTTGGCTATTGCTACAAATATACCCCAGCGACTTAAGACTGGTTTTGTGCTCCAGGGTCACATATATACATTACTGTTAAAATGTTTTGGGGTCAGCAAGACTTTTTAAAGTAATACTTTTATCCAGCAATGATGCATTAAAGTGGACAAAAATGACAGTAATCACATTTATAATATTATTTAAAAAAAATTCATCAAAGAATCCTTAAAAAAATGTGTATGACCCCTTTAAGCAGCACAACTGTTTTCAACATTGATAATAATGTGACACTGAAGACTGTAGTAATGATGCTGAAAATTCAGCCTCGACATCACAGGAATAAATTACATTTTAAAATATATTAAAATATAAAACAGCTCTTTTAAATTGTATTAATATTTCACAATATTACCATTTTTGCATTTTTGATCAACTAAATCCAGCCTTGGTGAGAAACTTTTTTTTTTTTTTCTTCAAAAACATGCACAAAAAACAGTAGTGTAAGAAAGAAATGTCATTGTGCATGTAAATGCACAAAAGGAAACCAAAAAAAAGGATCTAGCAGGGTTCATTGAACTCTTTCATGAACTGTGGGCAGCTTATTTTAATGCTTGCATTCAGACCCCTTTCAACACAGTCAGGTTCATACCATTGTTTAGTCTGAATCATCTATAGAAACGCATATAGTTTCTGTACTGATATATAGGACGTGTGAATGGCTGAATCTGTCCAGGTCACATTTCACTCCAAAATCATAAAGAAAGAAGAAATTATGTTGCTTAAATTGATCCTATTTTAAGACCATTAAGATTTTTTCCCCTGTCATGACATTGACATTTAAGTACATCAGAGCTCAAAGGTAAAACCTTGGGTGAGGGAAGATGTGCTTAATTGCCATTTAAATGAGTTAAAAACTTGTTAAGACTGTAAAGGTTTTATCATCTTTATTATCTCAGTATCATCTTTATAATGTTTTCCATTTGATTCTGGGGTGGAATGAGACCTTGAGGTACACCAACACTATATTTGCAACACACACTGAAGCCACTTATTAGTAAGCCTAAGACATCTTCACCATTTATGGTGATGTCTGTGAGTTTAGCATGGGATGCAGTCAGAATTGAGATGATGTAGCAGAGTGACTCAAAAGTAGAGATGTGGTCTCCATGTTGGAACTCTAAAGTACAAATGAAACTACTATTCATCTTTGAATGAGGCAAGACAATTATAGCTTTATAATCAAGCCGCATCGCACAAGCACTTCATAATTCCGATTTAAGAATGCAGTCAGCATGTTTCATCACAAGATTTGGGCGAGATCCTTTGAATTTGATGTGCTGCTCAAACTTGAGGTTGTTAATCATCAGCCTGTTGTAGTTTTCTTGTGGTGAGGTCATGTGACTGAGACCAGTAACGTTCAGACTATATATATTGTGGTTGTTCTCAATAGTATTTCTGTGCTTTTTGATGTAATAAAGATATGATAATTGCATCTTAAACTGTGGTGCAGAACTATTATAATTGATCATACGTGATGGTTTGGTTTCACTGACATTCACACCCACCCAAAACTGGGCGGTTCTTTCTACATTGCAGTGATGACACAATATTGAGTCACTTCCTCATTAATTGCTTTAGAGCAGTTCCTACAGAAGCCTGGCTGCTATAAGTGAGGGTTCAGAGAGCTTCTGGCTCATTGTACTGGAGGCTTCACTGAAGGAAAGCTGTTGTGGACTGCTGGCGGCTTCAGTTCCTGGTAAGACTTTGCTAATCATATCTTTATCTTTTGAACAGTATTATCCCTGGAATCGGAGCATCTCTTCAGAAACCTTTTAGGGAGTACTTGGAGGCCCAGAGAGCCAAGCTTCATAACCCAGCGGGCGATGGAGCAGCAGCTGTAAGAATCAACCAATGACTTCTCATTTCATTTATTTAATAACTTTTTTTTTTGTTTGTTTAATATATTTAAAAATATATTTTAAAAAAAAGTGTATTCTCATTCAATTTATTTCTCACATTTCATTTTTTATTTAGAAACCTTTTTCTTGATTCTAAAAGTATTAAAGGCAAACTTAATTTGGCCCAAAAATCTTAAGTAATTCTGATTTTTTTTAAAAATAATTATATTTTTTGATTAAAAAAATATGAACAAATAAAAATTAAACAAATAAATATTAATTTTTTTAATGGCATTTCATAATTCTTGAAATTTAAAGAAATTTAATTTGGTCCAAAAATCTTAATTTAGTAATTCAGATCTTCACGGAGTAATTCAGATTTAAATTTTTTTCAATAATTTATATTTTCATTCAATTATTTATATATATATAATTTTTTATTTTTCTCTCTGCAGGGTGAAAGCTGGCTCTCGTGGGTATTTGAGAAGGTGGTGCTGGTCATGGTGTGCTATTTTATTCTGTCCATTATTAACTCCATGGCACAGAGCTATGCCAAGCGTCTCCAGCAGAAGAAGTACTCGGAGGAGAAAACAAAATGACGGACTCACAGAAAAACATCTCACGCTCTTGTTTTGGAACCTACGAAATATCGAAGCTAAAACTACATGAGCACTGATTTATGTGCGCTTCTGTATGTTAACGTTCATTCAGATCCCTTTAGTTACGTGGAGTCCCTCTTCATTTGTCTGCAGTGTGCTCGGCTATTTAAAATCAGATTTAACCTTTAGAGATTTGTCTTTACGGAACCAAGGCAGTCTAGCTAACAGGCTGTGTGGAGTCATATTTGTTGCAATGCCTTATGCAACATTTGGAGGTCATGCTTCCATTGAAGTGAATACAGTTCTTAATCAATAGATTTATTTAATTTCTAACATACAGGTATGGATGGGCAGGGTGTTTTGTGATTGGAATTTTCAGGGATAGTTTTTTTTTAATCAAAATTGATGTCATTTTGTATTTCTTTAACTGTTTGAAGAGGATAGCAATATCAACTCAGATCATCGTGGTTTTTAAATAGTTTGCACATCTTGTAAAATAATGTTTTGACTATGCGCACATGATGTTTATTCTCCAGTCTTAAACCAAAATGTCACAAACTAGTGGATGTAACTTTTAACCTAAGAAAATTAAGACGTAATATTTGCATATGTTTGTGCATTTTGACCTTTGACATTTGAACTAAAACCATAAGTTGATCCATACTTTCCTCTTATTTCGGGCTGAAGTATTTGTGTAGCTAATAATGATTTCTCTCAAAACTATTGTTGCATAATTTGTTTTGACATTAAATTCATTAATACATCTGCTGTGTTACATTTGCATTTTACATAAAAAAAACAAAAAAAACAATGAAAAATCAGATCTCTGGGTTCAGACCAATGAATGACAGAAGTTGGAGGATGTGGCCTAAAAGAAGGTATGTGGAAGATATCTGTCTGTCTGTCTGTCTGTCTATTGTTCTCTGTCTCATAAACTTTCAGAAGTGTCCTGTTTCAGTGTGTTGTGCTCATTCAGTCGTAAGTGTCCCATTCTGTCAGGTAGCTTATCAGACTGGTGTTGGCTTTAAGTCATATGGCAAGATCAGTCTAATAGGCTGCCTGAAATTTTGGGCTTTGTCACCATACGCATATTTTTAGTCTGAATTTTGTGCTAGAAATGTTCAGCTGATATAGCTACTAACTAATGAATGTGTTCTCCAGTGTACAATGGATCTGAGTATCCAAAGGATTTATTTTCCCCAGTTTACTGAAGCAGATCATATGTGAACATATTTAACTGAAACATCTTGCTTTTGTTTTTAAACTAACTGTTGATTTGTTTTCTAGGTCTATTAGTCTGTAATAGTCTTATTCTGGTTGCCATTTTCTCATTAAATTCAGTTGTTTATTTAAGAGAATAAATGTGTTATCAAGATCGGTTTCATTTTATACCGAATAAAAAATGTTTTCAGTTTGTTTTGGCTATAAAATGCTGCAGTTTTCCCACAATAAACTGGTTTCCTCCTTACATGTGTTTTGCCATTTATTAAAAAACACGTTATAGTAGGCCAATCAAAGAATCAAACATTTAGGCATGCTTATGGTGCATTCAAGTCATGTCGGATAGATCGTATTTACGAGTTGAACGCACATGCAGGGTGCGTGGCTCCCCTTAATAAGACATGGGCTCCCCTGAAAACGTGATTTGTGAAATTTTGGGGGGTCTCAAAAAATATTGACAATGTGTTATTTTGACGTGCAATTTCAGTTTTGTGTAATGTGATCATTGTGGATTATTATGTGTTACATTGCAAAAATATCATTCATTCATGCATGACGGCGATTTAAACCTAATTCACTTCAATAAAGATAACTATACATGCTATTCTTGTCATGAGCATCAAGGTGTGGGGGCGCTGCGGTGCAAATTCCACTCATGTTTAGTACATGTTAACTCAAAGATTCGTAGAAAAAATATAGAACATTATT